TAATAACTAATATACTAATACTTAAAAAATACTGGAACTTTTACTAGTGCCCTAATAAATGGAGTATTAAAAGCAAATTTAAAAAAAATTAAATACATTATAAGGAACATTATTTAATAAATCTATTATGCAACTGGTTGTTACTTTAATCATTAAATATATGTATAATGGAAATATTTATGGTGACTACTAATATTAAATGCCGATTTTAAAGGTTCTTTAACGCCTCCTGAAAAGAAAACCACAAGCTCAAAACAACGATACCTGTGGCCAATTTTAAAAACAATAATCAGTCATTTATAAAATGTCTGAATCAAAAATGTTGTTGGATTACATTATAAAATTAAAGGATCTCTCATTTTTTTTATATAAACGGGAGCATCGTCAAATTGTTTGAATTGTTTATATGTTAATCTCTGCTATTCACCTTTTGATATAATGCAATGCATGTTGCGGTATTAGCCAAGGGAGTAGTTGTTTTCAAGAGGAAAATGGTCGCTCGTTGTTTGTGTGACACGGTCTTTGAGATTTTCTCTTTTCCTTCATTATTAATGTATTAGCGTAATAAACACCAAACTTTTATATTATATATTCCCAAAAACTTTTAGATATCTTGTATAGCATTTAATTACCTTTTTGCTAAGGATATAAATATAAGTTCCACATTGGCAAAAATATGAGTGCAAAGCACGATTTTTATTTTTCAAATGGCAACGATTAACTAATACATGTTTGTATTGAAAGAAATTTGTTTAGCAGTTATGGGAGTCCATGCTGCCTATTAATTATTCAACTAATCATATACAGAACATTCGCTATATTAATATGAATGTGGCTTTTATAGATTGTACTAATGATTATTTATTAGAGCAATCAACTTTATATGAAAAACATTTTTTACGGGTATTTATAAAAAAAAAATTAAACAGCGCACTCGGTCGATGTTTCAAAATTCGCTTACGATATCAATGGTATAGTAAAACCAGAGATCTAGTGACTCTCATAATCATATTAGCCGACGACCCTCATTATCACTATTGTTCGATTTGTAGATAAACGATAAAATTGTCTGTTGGTTAAAAGATTCCCAGGTCCGGATTAAAATATATATTCTCATGAAATAGTAAAGAATATGTTTTTTTAATAATATTATAATTGAGGGCTCTCTAATTCAATTGTAAACAATTTTGAATGTAAAACTATTTTTAAAATAAAAAAATTCCTAGAATTTAAAGTACTTATAAATAAAATTTACTTGCCTGACCACCTGACTTTTTGTACTAAACGTCTATTAGGGAGATTATCGATAATGGGATATAGAGTTAAAAATAAATTACCAGACTTTGAAGACAAGAATACTATTGTTTAAGATATCGAATCCTATAATTTCAGAAAGATTAGAGAAAGTTAAATAAATAATGGGGAGTTAGTTAGTATGTAACTGTTTTGAGAACTGACCAATTACCGTTTTTAGAAACGAAAGGAGGATAGTAGTTAAACTAAATTCAGTCATTAACGAATATTCCGTTGTGTCAGTTGCGTTTATTTCGAAGTGTCTTAAAAATTTTATATACTGAAAAATGTTCCATCCATGGGTTGAACCTGCAGCAGCCAGTACTTTAACTTGTGGTGGTAATACCACTAATCGATAAATTTAACAAGTTGATGGGAAAAAATATTAAGTGTTTATACCTCCCTTATGGAACGTGGAATGACCAAGACTTTAAGGAAGTCTCTTTTAAGAAACTGGTTTTAATTTAAAAAAGTCATAATGGAATCTGTGCGCCTTAAACAATGGAGAGTTCAATATTTATTGGCGATAAATGATTTTAGAGAAGCTGGCAGAAGAGTTGTGTATTTGGATGAAACTTGGTTCGATACACATGTTATTCCAAACAAAAGTTAGGTAGACTCATCTGACTTGTGCCTAATCCGCCACATAATAAAGGCAAATGTATAACTATAATACACGCAGGAACCAATAATGGTTTTATACCTAATGCGTTGTCGTTATCGGCAAAAAATATTAAGGACTACTTAGTCGATTATCATGACGACACTACTGCCGAATTATTTGAAGATTGGTTCCAAACTAAACTTTTGCCAAATATTCCATCCAACAGTGTTATCGTCATGGATAATGCCAGCTACTACAATCAAAGACTAGATAAGGCACCTTATTCAAACGACATAAAAGCCATCATACAAGATTACGTGGTAAAAAATGATTTGTACTTTGACGAAAAGTACACAAAAAAGCAGTTTCTGGAAGTTTTAAAAAGCTATTCAATACAAAAGAAATATTTTTGTGTCACATTAGCTGAGAGCTTGGGACATACGGTGCTCAGACTTCCTCCTTACCACTGTATGTTTAACCCAATTGAACATATATGGCGTCAGCTTAAGTCAGCAGTTCGAAGAAATAATACTTCTCCAACCTTAAGTTCGACTGTGGTAGCTCTTATTCAAACAGAAGCTGCAAAAATTCCTGATAGTAGCTGGACCAAGTGTGTTTCCCATATAAAAAAAGGTGGTAAAGACATATTGATATAGAAAAGATACCAAGAGAAAGGTTCATTATTAATTTGGATGACGATAGTAAAAGTGAAACTGAACTTCGTGAGTAATTTTGTTTAAATAAATAAAATATTAGAAAAACAAATGTAAAAATTCCACTGTATTAATAAAAATACTTATCTGAGTAATTCAAAATCGACATTTGTTTCAGAAGCATAAACTTCTATCGTCAGGATTGACAATAGTGGAATTTTTACATTTCATTTTTTAATATTTTAATTATTATGAATAGATTCCACAATGTAAGGGTAGAAACAATCATTATGACCTAGCTACTTGTTCGTACTTTGTCAAACTGATTTTTATTTTTACCAAGTTACCACTTTATACTTTTTAATAATTATATTTTATATGTTCAACCTACATTCTGTACTTTTAAATACTTTATTTTCTACTTTTTAGTACCTCTATTACCTACCTTCTTTTTCGTACTTTGTCATACCGATTCTTACTTTTACCATTTTACCACGTTATACTTTTTAATAATTACATTTTATATATTCAACCTACAATTTGTACTTTTAAATACTTTATTTTTTACTTTTTAGTACTTTTATTACCTACCTACTTTTTCGTACTTTATCATACTGATTTTTGCTTTTACCAAGTTACCACGTTACTTTTTTGTACACACTGTATAATTAAATAAACAATTCTGAATTATAGCGATTTTTCTTAATATTTATTTTACCCCAATTATTGACCTATAGAACAAAACTTAATGGCTAGAGTAGGTCTCTGCGTTGAGACGACCGCTTGCTGATAAGTAAATTAGAGGGAAAGCCCACTCACGGCGCGACCTGCCGCATGCGAGTTTTTAGGTGCGATTTTTAACAGACGACAAGCAGCGACACATACGTTCAGTATCAAAATAGAGGTGGAAGAAGTAGTAACGGTGTTGTTTTATTCTGTTCGTCGGCGGAAAAAATAGAAACGACGTAGGTACTGGGTTCATCCATTATTTATAGACCCTTACCTATGTAAAAGGCGCATTTAATTTATTACATAAGGATTTACGTCAACACGAAGATAAGTTCTTCAAATATTTCAGAATGAGAGTAGTGTCATTTGACGAACTATTAGCGCAGATTCCCGAACAAATATTTTTTTCGCTATTTTATTTCAATTAACTGTTCGATATTTTAGGTCGATCTTGAATATCGGATATAAATTCATCTATATCAATACAGCTGTCGGACATTTTTTCACTGGAACTGTCGAAAAGTTAACAAGAAACTCCAACTCTCAACTGGCGTTTCGCACGCGACTTGACGTTTGTATGAGTGATGCTCCATATGAATCCATGATAACGTTGGCCGCGTGCGGCGGGAAAATCGCGGGCTTGTCATTTCTAATTTTCAGCCGCGTGCGACCACGCGACAGAACCGCGTTAAAGGGTTTTGAATCATTTAAAAACATCTAAAGTATTGCCGCACGCGATGCCTCGCGATCAGTCTCACGTGACGTGTCGCATGAGTGGGCTTTCCCTCTTACCTGCAGTTTTATGGTAGTCACTAGATTTCTGGTTTAACTATACAGTTAGGTAATTTAGTTAAATTTTTTGATTGTTTTCATTTCTTAAAACAAAAATAAATGGCCATTATCTGGTTCGATCCGCTTGCGATTTTGAAAAAAATAAAGCATACATACACTTTTGTAAGCATAACTATTGCCAAAGGATATATTGTAAAAAAAAACTAAGTTCCATATGTTGCGGAAATGAATTTAATTTTAATAAATAATTTTAACTAACGTATAGTTGAGTTCAGAAATAATAGACAGTTAGACAGTAATTTAATGCCAAGAGAATCTGTGAAGAATCCTGACAGAGGTGACAGACATACTTACAATTTACAATATGTGCCCATAACTGAAAAAAACCCTTGTCTAGCAACCTTCAAAAATTTCTCCAAACTTAGGGGGAATGACATATGACATTCACATAAATCTACAATATATGCATTTTTCAGTATTGATATTCACATATTTTATCTTGTTACTAACTGAACTTAAACTATTACCTTCATTGCATGAAAATGACAAGATATTAGCTCACAAAACATTAAAATATTGCAAGTTTTTAAGAAAAATGTAAGTTTTCTTCTTTTTTTTGAAAATTGCAAAATGAAATAATTACTTTTTAGTGTCAATTTTTTTTTAATTCCGACATTTCTAATGTTATACGGATTCGGGGTACTGTATAAATAACATAAATAATTTTCACAATGTGACGGTGCTCTAGTTTACGTAAAAAAAGTGCTTGGGCCCTACAATACGACAGAGACATAGTAATTTTTATTAAACATGTTCAAAATTTATTATTACTCACCAACATTTCAGACATTCGCAAAATGGCAATTCGATAGATTAAAAATCAAATGAGTGTATGATAATAGTTAATCAATTACAATGAAAATACTCACGTGGGTATGAGAGGTGCGGGCAGGGCTTGTCCCCCGGGTCTACCTGGAGGCATGGGTGGTGCATTGCCGCCAGGTCTGTTTGGAATGGCGGGAGCGGGCCTGCCAGTGCTCGGTGGCGGTGGTGGTGCCCTCGAACCCAGCGAACCTAAAACGTAACAAATTAACCTTTACCCACGACAAAAATACGAGTTTTATTAAATGTTTAATTATTGTATATAAGAGAGGTAACAGGAGATACAGCTATAAAATATAATATTCGTGACACCGACATCAATACCACATGGTCCAGTTGTAGATCAGGAGTGAAGAGAAATGTGGTCAGAGGTATAGGAAGGGATAAACGAAAGAATTTGACGTTAGTACAAAACAATGTTGTCCCATAAGAAACAACGTACAAAATGCAAACCCTGTTACCACATCTAGTAAAAAATACTAGATGTCCAACTAAGCATTAACTAGGTCTTGGAAATTATTACATCTAATTTAGTTAAATTTGATATAACTAATGATTCAAAATTTTTGGGTTCAGCTACAATAAAATAGGTTGAATTATTTTAGCTTTTTTTAAGATATGTAAATAATTTTGTAAACAAAACGAGAATAATGAAATAGACAGGACAATTTTTTTTCTTTTTTGTTATTGTAAATATGTTGAATAAAGACTATTTATTATTATTATTTTTACAAGCAATTTTTTTATGAAGAATGAATTTTCGTCATAAAATTAATAATTTCCTCAATATACTCTAAGTTTAAAACATTTTTTTGTACTTTATATCACAAAAATATATTGAATTAATAAAACTAAACATTTAATTCTTCGAAAAAAGGTAATAACATCAATACTTACCGCTAGATCCAACGGCGCTCATCTGTGGCGTCGCTTTCCTGGGTCCCCCAGGACTCGGTGGCGACAGCCTGGGATTCTCAAGACCGCTAGCCAGCCAATCGTTTTTCACTGGCGGGGGTACTGGTGTGGAAACTGTCGCCATCGAAACATCGCCGATGATGTGCAGAGCTTCTTTGCAGGCGTGGTACATACGGAGCATTTCTTCGCGTTTTTGCGCTTCTTCGGGAGCCTGTTCGCAAGAAATGTTTACATGTTATCATTTATTATAAAAGAATATTTTGTGTGTACCTCTTCCATCATTTGCGCTTGATCCCCGCTGGCATAAATGTGTGCCAAAAGTTCACCGTTAATGAAATCTTTGGTGTGATTGATGATCATGTACATAATGGTCTTTGGTACCAAATCTCTAGTGGTTTTGGTCACTATACGCATATAACTGTCGACCAAGTTCCTAATGGTTTCCACTTGTCGTTCCAATTGGGGATCCATCGAACTAGATCCGCTGTCGCCTGAAGACTGAAGAAAAATCACAATTGTACGAAACGATGGTAAAACATCGGTTTTTCATTTTGTATCTTGAGGACGAAATTCGACGTCCTTCTTTAACTTTTGAACCATAAGATACGACTTTTTCAATTTTTATATCAATTCTTAATAATGCTGAAAAGCAATTATTTGATTCTTAAATAGGTGCGGTTCAAGTTTTTTTTTTAAATTATCGTTATAGCACTTTTATGTTCTTTTGGATGAATAGATAAAAGTAATCGAAAGAAAACTGTAAGGATGTGAAATTAAGTTTAGCAATCAATATATTGACCTAATAATGAGGGTGGGAAACTCGATGCAACTAGAAGAATATTTGAAAAATATATGGCAACAATTTCAATATATTTTTTATTATCTTAAATGCTAAAAAATTTAACGCCGTTCAAAAGTGGTTGGAAGTAAAATATTTTTTTCTAGAAAACCGATCATAACGTACGCCGTAAGGTTTCAAATAGAGATCTCACACTCTATAACCTTTGTATACAATTGCCGACTAAAACTACTAGCCCCAGAAAAATGATGATGACGGTTTTCGATTACATTTATGGTGGTGAAATTTGCAGAAAATTTAAATTTTTATACTCTACGGTACCATTATTTGTTATTTTTATTATAAATATTCAGTAACTAATAAGAAATTCCATGAATTTTTATTTAATAAAAAACTCCTGTCCTGGGTGAGAAAGTTCAGTTTTCCACCGAGGCCCCATGTGTCATGGAAAATTGACGGCATAGCGCCTAAACTAAGGCTTATCCTTTAAAGTAAAGATAAAAATAAAACACAGGATTTTATTATGTTTATGTATTGTGTTTAACATATTTATGCCCGGTTCTATAGAAATATCTGCAACGGTACAAAAGTTAAAATACAGAAAGTCGAAGTTTATGTCCAATAAAAGTTATTCTTTATAACCATTAAAGATGAGAAAGCAGAAAAAATTGTAAAATTCTAGCTTTCCCAAAATTATTGTAACAAAGCTAATCTAATGTTTCAGATTCTAAAGAGCATTTACTGTTAAATAAAATGTTTCATTTAACATTGTATCATGTAATTTCCAAACATAAAAAGCAAAAGAGTACATAGTAAAATTCCAGTATTTCCACATAGTAAAGATTTTAATGTTTATTTATATTTTTAGAAAACCCTAAATAATTATTTCAAAATATCTCTACAAAATAACGAAAATTACTCCCCAAAAGTGAAGACATCTATTCGTGTATTAGGCACACACCCCTTTACAAATTCGGCTACTAGTACAGGATCCGAAGTAAGGTCACCTTCACCCATCTGTTTAACGGATGACATTTTTTTTTTATTAAATGTTTATAAATATACGGTAAATGGATTGCCTAAGAAAATACTATCACGACTATTTTGTTACTTTGCTTTCTGTATACAGATAAGGAAAGTATAGGAATCATGATCAAAGTTGCTTGTGATGTCATTCTCTATTTTGGTTATATACATTATTTCCTTAAAATGGACCGAGGAGATATTTGAGGAAAAGTGCAAATTTAGAATAAATAGAATAAAGAGAAAAACACCAAATTTTAAACTTGCGGTGAGCTGATTAAATTTTGGGAATTTTATTTATTTAACGGGAAAACCCCTTTATAGTAAAATAACACAGTGGTATTTAACCTACATAGATTTTTTTTGTTAGTTTGCATTGCACCTAGCTATATTTCAGCCAACCAGCAATTTGTCTTTATTATAAACTTAAGTACTTAAGAGGCTTAAAACTAAGAGTTCACCCAATGGTATGTTCTCCTTTCTGTTCTAATCAAAACCTACATAGATACAAACAATAAATACATTTATTATCGAATCACAGACATCATGTTTTTAAAGCTTTGACCTCAACTTAGTTTTAAAGGTGCTCAGGGAAGGACCGATGAAATCAATGACCTGTTCATCTTGATAAGCGAGAGACAGGAGTGTGATATCCATAATTTGTGTAATGAAATGGAACATCCAACAAACTGTGGTTACGAGTGGTCCTATTCTCAATCCTAAGTGAGAAAAGGGGCAGAAGTTCTGGACAACAAATATCCCCTGACAATAGTTTGAATAACAAAGTCATTTCCATAAATATTCTACGGTTTTCTAATGTCAATAAGTTAAGTGTATTCAAAACCTCCTCCTAACTGTAATTGCCAACCTGCAAGTGCATTTTATATGCTGCATATCTCAAAAATGTGTTGTATACGTTCAATTGCTGAGATATGAATTGCAAAATAGGGCATCCAGACTATAGAGCATTATAAACCACTAAAATAGCTTTAATTGATAAATCCTTCGAATTACGCATTGTAAACCCCAACATTTGATAACCCTTGCTAACAATGGTATTAATACGTTCAGTACATGTCAGCTGACTATCGAACCTGATACCCAGATCCTTGATACTCTGTTCATGAGTACATTATTAAGTGAATAATTGAAAACGATGGGAGTTTTATTTCTAGTAAAAGTAATTGAGTAAAATTTATCAGTGTTCAGAGACATACCGTTAGCAACAGACCAATTGGTAAGTGTTAAAATGTCGCTTTCCAATTTATAACAGACCTCCCAGGAAGTAATTCTCACGTACATTTTCAAGTCATCAGCGACCAGTAAAAGTTTGCAGTACTCAAAAATTGAATCTGTCATTAACAAAGAGGTTGAAGAGCAGTGGCCCCAAACGAGAACCCTGCGAAACTCCTGAGGAAACCATGACTGAATTTGAAGTGTGATTTTTAATTTTCACTAACTGTGTTCTCCCACTAAGATAGCTGGATAACCAGACAATTAACCAGATTGGAAAATCTATCAATTTTAGTTTGTGAATTAGAAGAGGATGGTTCACCCTGTCAAATGCTTTACTGAAGTCAGCATAAATAGTGTCTACTTGGCTACCTAGTTCAAATGAGTCAATGATGTCATTCTGATATATTAATAAATTTGTCACAGTAGATTAGCCAGAGGTAAAACCATGCTGTTCATTTATAATTATATTTTTACAAAGATTGGTGTCACATAGCTACTTTTCCACGTAGCGGGAAAATAACCTTTATAAATCGACTGGTTAAACATCATACAAAGTGGTACACTTAATGTGTATGCACATCTCTTAAGGAAATATGCAGGCAGTTGAAGCATACTTTATAGGGTGTCGTTACTTTTTTACTTTAAGAAATAGTCTTGACAGTATTTTCTTATTTAATAAAAAAAAAACTTTCATCCGTTAAACAGATAAGTGAAGGATGTCCTTACTTCGCATCTTCGACTATACCAGAACATGACTGTCCATATTACGACCTACGGATCCGCAGGCATGGTTGTCTTTCCCTAGACGACGATACTGCTAGTAGCTACCAGTTTTAGGTTCATGATAGGCTCCAAATCCTTCTGTGGAGTTGCTATTGCATTGTATAACGCATTCATCAAACAATGGATGCAAAAGGAGACTCTCAGGAATGATGGAACAACTATCCAAAATTGAGACACGCCGATAAATTCATTAAGAAATCGTCGGTCAAGAACACGAAAGACCTACTGGATCAAAAACGACAAATCTTTAGGATAATAGTAGGTCTTCTTACCGGACACTGCCGCATAAGAAGTGAAATAAATGAGTGAAATAAATCCAGCAGCAAAAGCAACAGCAGATTCTGCGGAGAAGAAGAAGAAGAAACATCACTCCACATCTTGTCTCAGTATGAAGGCCTGGCTAGATTGGGGTCTCTAAAACTAAGCAAAGAAAAGGCAGACGCATGGAACTACAAACTGTCAAAAGCTACTAAGTCTTATAAAAAAGACCAGCTAGATGACATGCTGTAAATAACGCAGTTCCACAATAAATCCGAAAAGGTCGCGGTGGACAAGGGCAAATAATATCAATGTCTAATTAAATCTAGCAGTTTGTGAAAAAAATGAGAGCTCTGTAACCTACTGTGATTTGAAATCTTATAATTCAACAATTATTTAGAATACCATGTCCTGATAGCCAAATCAGCAAAGGCAGTGTGCGTAATACACGAATAGGTGGGTTCAAACTCCAACCCAGAGCAAATTTTTTTCACTTTTAGGGGTTTAAATGTAATTTTCATTTCGTAGAGGTAATTTTGAAATATTGGGGATTTTCAAAAATAGAATTATTTGTTTTCAGATCAATAACTGATATAGTTTCAGAACTGATATTTTACTGACTTAATTTTTTGGTAATTTTTTAATTTTCATATATTTCTATTGATACTAGAATTTTTCCAATACAACCAACTGAAGCAAATATACTACAGGGTAACCAAATTAAATATATTAATACAAAAAAAAACAGGTGCTCCTGGTGTTTATTACGAGCAGAGTCAAATCAAAACCTCAGAAATAACTCGAAAAAATATAACGTTTTTAAACATTACCTTTAAATAATATTATATATTTAAATTTAAACACTAACGATACTTACGCCGGTCCTCTCACACACAATCTGACATACTACCTCCACATTTATTAGAATTCTCTCCCGCTACTTTTAACCAATCGCGTGAAACGTCACACCAAACGTCTAGCCAATGACGTTCAAGACAAGCCATGCTATTGACACAATATTTAGAAAGCTTTCGTATCTCATATCGCTTACACATCACATAGAGCACCATATTTTATATTTACTTAACAACTTGTAGTGAATGACCTGCATGTACTACATATCTTCTTCATACTTGCATTGCGTTACGCTCACGCGCATCAAACAGTCATAGAAATTATGTAATTGTTAGTTTTTAATGTTTATTCATTATATTACAATTTAATACTATAATTGATTTAATAATAAGATAATTCTTTTTTTGGGTCAAATTTACATGTTAATTTTTAAGCAGAATTGTCTATCGAAAATTTATACCAAATAAAGATGTTACTAATTACGTCTAAAACCAAATTAAAATATGCTTTTGATTAGTACACCCATAATAAATATAATATTAAATTATCAATAGTGTATCCATTTTACTATTTCAGTATTTTATATAAGCAGAACTATATAGTACAAATACATTTGGCAACGAAGCATGAATTCTTCTCTTCCGTGTCTCACGTTGGCGCCAACTAAGGTGGGTCATTTGTTTTTGATGTGATTAGTCCATCGTCGTAGCGCAACACTATGCTGTTTCTTGGTGATAATGGTGATGTTTAATTTGGACTGCTGATCAACGATAGCAGATAACTGGAATAATTAACACGGCGCTGCAGCGGAACTACTCCGAAACTAATAACCATGAGATTATCACCAAGTAAAAACACACAAACTTGAATTCAACGTCTCCAAAACACAATACTGCATACTCTTAAATAACAAGCAAACCAAAAACAATTCCCTGTTCATGAACAATTAGGTTGTTTGTGTTTGATGACAACTTCTTTAGACTAGCAATACAATTTAAACATTTTTAAGGTTTTTATTTGACTCTACATCGTTTTTTTTTAAGTGGTATAAATGTGCGCTTGTATTTGAGAAGAATAACTGGTACACTATACACTATTTTTTGTCAATGGGACGTTTGTGATTTCGTGTAGTGTATTTTCTTAGTATTTATTTTACAAACCTGATCACCTCCCTGCAGCAACCAGAAGCAAAACACACAACACACACCGATTAGCGGACAGATTAACATTGTACAAGACGGAACACATATAAAGAATATTAAAACCGGTTTGAAACCTAGCAATTTTTACGTTAAATTAAAAAAACATGATGTCAAAGTGTCCACACTTTTTCAATAATCAGATGTGTATGTCCTAATTTAAAAAGCCCAAAAAGTGAGTAAAGCAACAAATTAAAAAAAAAAAATGAAAAGAAAATAATACCAAAATTGAAACTTACATCTGAGGAATTCTAAAAAAGAAAAATAAATAAATAAATAAAGAGAAAAACGGCCTAAGTAAACATTGTGTTTGAAAAACAAAAATCATAATGCACGACTAATACATTGTAATGAAAAAAGTACTTACATCCTCCCCGTTTAAAGTATCAGTTTGTTTTTCTGGGTAAACACCGGCTCTCAAAAATGATGCTTTCCATGAATCAACGTCGTCTAAAGTTTCACAGCTCAATTCAAGTTGTTTATAATCCTAAAAAGAAAACGAATATTGAAATTGGTAAAATGTTCTGTGAAATAATATGAAATCTAGGTAACAATATATTATTTAAATGTTGGTTATAGAAATATTTATGTAGCTTTTAATTTTCCTACATTTCTTATATATAATAGGTATGATGAATGTGTAAAGAATGACTGAACTAAATGGACACTTTTTTTTTAAAATACAGGTCGAAAAGTTAAATTGGATTTTTTTTTAATTAATTTTTAATCAGACCAATACAAAGTAGCGACATAAAGCTGCTGGTTAGACGGTATACAAGAAGTAATATACGTTCATTTATGTGTCCAGCTTCTTACTTTTAGACTTCTAAATTATCGTTAATCAAAGATCTTTTAAATACAAAATATCGACTTTTTTAAAAGTATTATTTATGTTTAATCTTTTACCATATTTAGTTTCATTATAAAAAACAAAAATTTAAGAACCAAGAAAATGAAAATGTGACAACTGCATACGTCAAGTGTCAATTAAGAGTTTATGTGTCATTGAGTGATTACCGAGATTATTACAGATCTTTACGCTTTTGGGTCCCTAGATTACGAAAAACATGTTTCCCCATTGTATTGGTCTGTCTGTCTGTCGTCGTCTGTCTGTTGGCGCAATAGCTAAAAAACGGCTTTAGAGAACAAATTCAAATTTTGTAGGCAAGTTTCCTTTCTGACTCAAAATCAGTTATACTTCTGGTCAGTTATATACAGAATGAGCAGTTAAAAAAATCATTTATTTTTAAGTCGGCAGATTTCGACTAAAATTGGTTTTAGAAGTCAAAGATAACAGGTCCTAAATAAGTTTTTAAAAATTCAAAATATCGTTGAAAGGAATCGTATTTAATAAAAAAAGGTCCCCCTTAAATAGAAATAATACAAAGCGTCCCTTTTGTGTATCTGGACCATTTTAAACACAGCCAATCATTGGGCGCGTTCAGTCGACGCAATAGTTGATTTAAACTGTTTCTGATATGGTTGAAGTCAATAATTAATAGTACCTGAACGGTATAAGTTTGTTCAGCGATTAGACAATTCACATACACGTGGTGTACTAGGCATACAATCAGGACTTGCAAACAGTGCTGGTTGCGCTTGATTCGGAAAAAGCCTTTGACACCGTCTGGACCCGAGGGTTAATCTACAAAATGCTTATGAATGACTTTCCTGGGCACATTGTTAAAACAATTTTGTCATATCTTACGGACAGAAAATTCAACATAAAAGTAAATTCAACAATAACAGGACCTTTCCTAGCAATGGCGGGAGTACCTCAGGGCTCAGTACTATCGCCGCATTTGTACACTATCATGACTCATGATTTACCAATGGGTCGTAATGGGGTACAAACGGCGCAGTACGCCGACGACATCTGTATTTTTACCAGCGACAGATCTGCACAAACAGCGAGCAGCAGGCTGGACGATCATATTAATGGGACATTAATGAATTATCTAGCAGAGAACAAAATGAAAATAAACTCAAGTAAAACGGAATCTATAGTACTAACAAAAAGGCGTATCCAGGGCATAGACACGCCCCTTCAAATACAGAATCAAACAATTGAGACTAAAACTCCACTAAAATATCTCGGTTTTCTGCTAGACAAAACATTATTGTTCAGGGCCCACATAAAAGACAGGGTAGCGAAAAATTCCGGTATTATGATGTCTCTGTACCCCTTAATGAATAGACGGAGCAAGCTAACCCTGCCGAACAAAATTCTACTCTTTAAAACTATATTTAGGCCTATACTGACATATGGTTGTCCAGTATACTGTTCAATGCCAAATTCATATTTTCTCCCACTACAAAGGGCACAAAACAGATGTCTCAGAATAGCACTGGGTTACGACCGCTATGCTAGAATACGAGACATACACGAGACGACAAATATGCCTATGATTAAAGATTTCATTATACAAACTGCTGAAAACTTCTACGCGCGATGCCTCCATGAGGAACTGAGGGAGAGTATCACTCAAATTCACCAGGGAGACGGCGTTCGTAGAAAACACGGCTGTGTTCACAAAAATCTAAGCATATATAGACGACAATAACAGGACCCACGACAATCTCTACAATACTAAACAATAATTCACACGGACTGGATATTTACGAAATATAGTCCGACGGAGAACTGAGCGATAAATCGACTGGTAGAATCTCGGCCGAGTGCAGTTTACCTAGAACTGTTCTAGGCGATAGTTCTGCGAATCCACGCTAATTGATTTCGTGTTTACATAGTGACATCTGTCAAATTAACAATTTTCCTTTTTTCTAACGTTTATCCCTAGCCAGTGTGAGTATAGCATCCCTATTGGGAACAGGACCAAGATAGAGCCCGAAGGGGCACCCATAATAGCCGCAGAAGGCTTCGAAACCCTCTATACCAAGAGATTGAAAAACAGATGCCGGGTTGACACGGAGGCCATCCAAAAAGTAGCTAAACTGAGCACCCCAAGGAAGTATAAGTCCAAATTGAAGCAAAACTTACCATACACAGTAAGTACAGACGGTGTGACAACTAACCTAACACCTGGGGTCAATTGTACCACCCAGGAGGACCCCCTGGTCAAAATTTCTCTGGATCGACCTTCAGATGACCCTCAAAGTCTTGGAAGCATAAACAAAGAACAAAACGACCCAGCAACAGGGGATACGGGCTCCCCAAAGCCATCCCTTGCGGAATCTGAGGAAATGGAATTCCATGATAGCCAGGATTCTCTGGATAGCACAAATAGTCCCAATGAGGACAAAACTAATAAAAATGAGGACAAAGACGTCCAAAATTTGATAAACATCCTAGAAAAATCTACTGACTCGACCCAAAGCACTGACAATGCGATGGACACGACAGTAGTTGAAAAAGTGACAAATGAAACAGAGGTTTTGACCAAGGAAAATGAAAACTTTATATCAGACTATGAGAAGACTGATAATATACCTAAGAAGGTTATTAAAACTCTCCCTCTACCGTCTAATGTAATAACCACCCTATTAGATTTCAAAACGAACGATTTCAGCAGTAATCTTCCTCCATTCATACCTTATAAACCGACTTCCGGGGTAGAAAGTGGCCAGAAAAGGGATGGATCGAGTAGTTCCTCGACTGGACATTTTTCTATCCCACCAGTCCCAAATCCCGAGGTAATAAACTCGAATATCCCACGAGACCCCAGAATACCCCCCTCCCCAAGAACTAGATCCCTTTCTGATCCTAGACTAAGGAATAGAGACGTACCGCCAAGTATTGTAAATAATATCCTACACTACGACAGTCTAACCTCTGAAGAGGAGAATAGAGGAGCTATACCGAAAGATAAATTCGATTATCTACCACACTCACCTAATAGCTACTTTGAGAGCAGAACACAAACTCAAAGGGAGCAATATTTATTGGAGCAGCAACAACTAGCTGAACAAGAAGCAGCTAAGAAAAAGGAAGATCCCTTTATTCTGCCCAAAAAATTCAGCTCGAATTTTACCAAACTTATAAGAGAAAAATCGAAAAAGACCTTAACGCCGACAAAAAACGCTTTTCAAGTCTTAACTGATGATTCTGACAGTGAACTGGAGGATGAAATAGGGAAGATAGTCAAGAAACGGAAGAAGGGGCAGAAATTCGTTCCATTACAAATAGAGGATAATCAAAAAAATGTACCTCCCAAAACTCTATCAAATGATACTAATAAGACAGCAAATAACTCAGAAAAGAATGCCTCAGCCTCCAAATCAAGTACCAATAAAAACAAGACAGTAATGCCCCCAATTGTTATTGATGGCAAAACATCTAACCAAAAAGCGCTAATTCAGGATCTAAAAAGTATAGTCAAGGGAGATTTTAGCCTTAAACATACCAATTACACGACTATACTATTCGTTGAAAATAAGGATGATCACACTAATGTAGTTAAAAATATGAAAGATGAAAAAATGTCATACCACACTTATACTCACAGGGATGACAAATCTCATGCCTTCGTGCTACGAGGCTTAGCCGAAGGCACGAAAATAAATGACATAGAGGAAGAACTCGAGGAAGAGCACGAGATCAAACCAAGGGCGGTCTATCAGATGAAGACTAAAGAGCGGCCCCTATTCCTGGTAGTAACGGACCCTGCGATAACTCTGGAATACTTAAACAGAAATACGAGGAGAATTTTACACACCAGAGTTACGTGGGAACTCCGTAAGTCCTCTAAACAGATTATACAGTGCCACAACTTCCAGCAGTGGGGGCACGCGACCGCCAATTGTGGGAGACCCTCCCAATGTGTAAAATGTGCAGGGGATCACCACACGAGAACATGCGTGAAAACACGTGACACGCCAGCCACGTGTGTCAACTGCGGGGGTGATCACCCTGCTAACTTCACAAAATGTAAAGCCTATTTGGACAAACTGGACAGACTTGAAGAAAGGAGGCCAAAACCGAAACCAAAAATGGTTCCGGCGCCGCCTCCAGCGATAAATTACTGGAAGAACAGAAACTCAAATCAGAACAATGCTAGCGCGCACCAAGAAGAATTTCCAGAATTACCAAAAAACCATAAAAGAGACAATGATCCGCAGCAAGTAAGAAGAAGTACTCCTCCAACGCCAAACGGGGCCATGAACGACATTACGGCCTTAAATGCAGAACTAGCAACTCTAAACAGGTTAGTCAATATAGCGGAGCTAACAAGAGCAGTTAGAGCGCTTAACGCTAAACTTTCAGAATGCCATTCAGGCCAAGAGATATTCGAAACTTATAATCTTTTCATGACGAATATAGACGTAAATTTCAAACTTAGGAACTGAACTCTTGGAACGAGACTCACAAAAACTCAAAGTATGTTTTTACAATGCAAATGGGATGCGTAACAAAGCTTCTCTTGTGCGCAGTTTCATTCATAAACATAAATTCGACATAATACTCATAACAGAAACTCACTTTGACGTAAACAAAAACTTTAAAATACAGAACTACAATGTAATAAG